TCTCCCTCCCCCCCTCCCCCCCACTCCCTTCCCCCTCACACGTACGAGGCACTTGCTCCTCTATTGTCCCATTAACGCCTAATGAGCAACAAACACCTCCACGGTCCTTCCTAATGGATTTCGTGACGAGCTAATGACCCCCCCACCCCCCACCCTCCCCCTCCCCCCCCGTGTCGAAGATGGTGAATAATGGAATAACAAGACCCAGGGTGGTGTTTCTGGACTGTGGGGTGGGGGGGGGGGTGAGCGAGCGGTACTTCTTCAGGTAGGGAATGGGGTTGTGGGGGCGGGGTTGGTTGGGGGGGTACTTTTTTTGGGGGAATGGGTTGGGAGGGTTGGGGGTACGTTTTATTGGGGAAGGGGAATGGAGGGGGGGGGGGGTTGGGGGGCGGGGTGGCCTGGGGGTACTTTTTATTGGGGAAGGGAGTGGAGGGGGGCGGGTACGGAACTTTTTTTATTGGGGGAGGGGGGAGGGGAGGGTGGAGGGGGGAGGGGAGGAATGAGGGGGATGGGGTGGAAGGGTGGGGAGTTGGTAAGGAGGGGGGGAGGAGAGAAAGAGGGGAAGGGAAGGAGATGGAGGGGTAGGGGGGGAGGCAAGGGAAGAGGGATAGGGAGTAGAGAGGGGTGAGGGGATGGGGTGGGAATGAGAGGAAGAAGAAGGAAGGGGTGAGGGGAAGGAGGGAAGAGGTAAGAGGGGTAAGGGAGCAAGGGAGGGCGTGGAGGGAAGGGGAAGGAGCCTGGAGAGAGGGATGAGGGAATGGGGATCGAAGGGAAGAGGGGGGGGGAGGGGAGGGGGAAAGTAAAAGGAAGTAGGATACTAAATAGCCGATTAAGGAGGGAGGATGGGGGTGAGGGGGGGGGGAGAGGAGGGGCAGAGGATAAGAGATAAAAAAGGGAGACAGAAAACAAGGCAATAGGGGTAGACAAAAACATCACGGGAAGAGAGTAGGAGAGAAATAGGATAAGGCATTTTAGCATGAGAAAGAGGGGGTGGGGGGGAAGTAGAAAGGAGAAGGGAGGATAGGAGGGGAGGGAGAAGGGGAAGGATAGGAGGGGAGTGGGTAGCATGTGGGATAGGGGGGTGAAGATCGGATATCAGAGGATATTCTTTCCTGTAACAGCCAGTGTGTGGATATATACATGTCCGATTCGGTTATTAGGCTCATTAGTGTTATTGTTATGGCTAATAATGGACAAGGTATTAATGATGAGAATATTCGTGATGGTGTTATTATTATTATTTACTCTACTACTGCGGTACTGTTGTTTTTACTACTACTACAACTACATTTACTATAATTAGTACTACTACTACCACTGCAGCTATTAGTATTACAGTCTACTACTTCCTACTACTACTATTACTACTACTACTAACTACCACCACCACCACCACCACTACTACGACTACAACTACTATACTACTACTACTACTACACTACTACTACTACTACTACTACCACCACCACCACTACCACCACCACCACCACCACCACCACCACCACCACCACCACCACCCACCACCACCAACCACCACCACCAGACTACACACAACTGCTACTACCACCACCACCATCACCAACACTACTAATACCACCACACTACTGCTATACTATACTATACTTTTTACTACTATAATTGCTATTATTACTACCACTTCGGCTACCGCTATTTATCCTACCGCTTCTTTTATATAGATGAGATAGCCTCCAGTTTTCCACCTGTGTCCATACCTCTATTTATTACTTATCCCAAGTCATGCATTTTAAATAATGCTTCTCGCTACCTTGCACACGAAGCCACCTTCTTATGCGACTCTCACTGGCCCATGCTTCATTCTACTACTACTACTACTACTACTTCTATTTACTACTAACTACTGTTCTACTTACTACTACTACTTCTATAACTGCTTACTCTGCTACTACTACTTATAACTACTACTACTACTACTACTACTGCTACTGCTACTACTGCTACTACTACTACTACTGCTACTCTGTACTATTCTGCTCATACTACTACTACTTCTATACTGCTACTACTGCCTACTACTATTACTCTCATACTGCTACTACTACTACTACTGTACTACTACTGGACTTACTACTACTAGCTTCTACTACTACTACTACTACTACTTCTATAACTGCTACTGCTGCTACTACTGCTGCTACTACTACTACTACTACTACTGCTACTGCTACTACTACTACTACTACTACTACTACACTACTAACTACTACTACTACTATGCTGCTGCTCTGCTGCTCTGCTGCTACTACTATACTTACTACTACAACTATAACTGCTTTACTACTCTGCTGCTGCTGCTGCTTACTCCTACTACTACTGACTACTATACTGCCTGCTGCTGCTACCCCCTGCCTAACTACTGCTACCACTACCTCTAACCTGCTTAACATTCTGCCC